TTTAAACTCATCCAATAGGCCAAATGATCTACAAATTTGACCAGAATTAGATTGTTTTGAAAATGTAGATCGGATCTACAATATTTTGATTATTTTGATTGGCTGTTTACAGCATGTGACCCGAACTTTTTTTCACCATGGTTAGAGCACTCTAATATGTATAACTGTATAACATATAAAAATATAATTATTTGGCACTTGTTAATAAGTTTGAATAAAAAATTGATTAAGAAATTGATCAAGTAATTTATCTGCTATAGCCGACTACTAGTCGATAGTCGATGATAGCTGACCGATAGATCCCTAGTCATAAGTGACGATTCGATCGTAGTAAAAAATCTGTCATCCAAACAGTTTAAAAAATATATGGTAAGAATTATTTTGTTTTCGTTTTAGATAATAATTAATTAATTGATTGATTGATTCTTCAACAGAAACCGGCACGCAATATGAAAGTCACACTTCCGGACTCAATTAAAGATAAATGTCGTGAGTTCACATTAGACTTTACAGAAGAATCTCCGGAAAATTCATGCGTAAAGCTCACACATGATGGAAAATGGAAAGAGACGGATGAAACCCTTATGGGTGTTGCGGAAAACATTCTTGATGTATTGAGTAATTTCAGGACGAGGAAATTTCTTATAAGTCTGTAAACTGATAATTATTTGCTATTTGATTCTCAAGGGCTGATGTTTGGAGAAATCCAGCATTTGGGCCAGAACTCATGAAAACACAAAGCGAAGGAACCTATGTTACGGATATAATAATTCCTTCGATTCGGGCCTCATTAAAAGGGCTTCCGTTCAGACAATTTGCGTTTATCAGCACGTATGTCATTTTATTATGTTATTCTATTTGACACTATCAAACTCATGGTTTGAAATTAATTTTAGTGCAGAGCGACAAAGCACTGCTAGTGCAAATAGAAAAGGAAAGGGACAATTGGGAAAACAACCCGATTTTATGTATTTACAAAAACGGGAAGGTAAGATATTTGAGCTTGTATACGGCGAATGCTCACGTTTGTTATGTAGTGATACTAAGAAAAAAGATGATGAGATAAAATTGTGGAGAGAAACAAATGATAGTATGTTTTGGGTTCGACAAGGGTGTAAACCGGAAAAAGACCAATTTGGTATTATAGGAATTCAAGTGGCAGGTATGATAAGATTATTTCAGAACTCTAGTCTTTGTTTACCGTTTAATAGCAAGATATGATATTATAGGGACCGAGATCCAGTTAAATGTACTCATCAGGGATAATATTGATATACATCGATATTATCACCTAAAAAAAGCGCAAATTCCTATACATTGGTCTGAACAAGCCCTATCGACTTTACCTGAATTTGTTGAATTATTGTTGAATTTGCGGGTATTTATTCAGTACGTTAAATTTCCCTTACGTATATAACAAAACTAACATTTGTTACAGAATGTCTTAATTGTTAATTTATCACTATTAATGCAAATACCCACAAGTAAGACACATCGTGTCGAAAAAAGTTTTACGGTATCATCACCCTCTGGAAAAGAGACCCATGACAAACAAAATAAAAAGAGGCAGAAGAGACCCAAGAAAACATCAAGATCTATTAAGCGTAGGAGAAATGAGTATTTTTAGAATATAAATAGTGATTAAATATAATATACAGTTAAAAAATTATATTAAATAAAATATACTGATACAGTATTATTAGCCAATCAAGTTACAAAATACAGTTTTATAAACTTTGAACACTTTGGGTGTTCTTGGTATACCTATGACTATAATGCCAGGTTTCTAGATCCGATGGGCGCATTCGAACCTTAAAATTTTCTTTTTGATTCAACAATTCAACTAGAATGTCACTTTTTTTTATTTCTAAAAACAAATTTAGAACTAGAACAATACCTTGATGTGTTAACGTTTTATTATTTATATATTTAAAACGTATCTTAGTACAACGCAATTTTTTTTGTTCTTATTTATGCAAACAATAATTTTAATAATTTCTGATTACGAACTACAGAAATTAATGATTCAAATTATTTTTATTCTACCAATCTTTTCACATAAAGCATATCAGATAAAAGACTAATAATAATTCCTTATTGTCCTTGTACATACGGAATACGCATTCAGACTTTTTTTGTACTTTCAATCAACCAATAAAATATTACGTCAAGATTTCCTCATAATTAATTTTAATTAAAGATTTCCAATTCCTGATAAGGAAATATCCTTAATCTTCCCTACCGAATTTAGAAAACAAATTAATAATGTGAATCTTTTATAAATACCATCGAGAATTTATCAGGTTTTTTCTCGTCGCTGGCCGAATCAGTCCTATTAAATTGTTAGCATCCATTACCATTTTTTAGCTCATCTTAGCCCAACACTTTTATCATAATTACGTATACGTAGTTACTTTTCCATAAGTGGTTGGTCAAGTATTAGTACAGTGAGCATTGGTATTTGCGCCTTCCTCTGGCTAGCAGGGCATAAGACAAACGAATTATTATTTATTATTATTATATTATTACCATATACGTATTTTTTTAGAGATAAAAAAACAATGCATTATAGTTTATAAATATAACTGAAATTCAATTAACACAAGTACTACATATCTGCAAAAATATATATCTGTTAAATTTTGTGTCATCGGATAAACCATTCTAAAAAGAAATTCGTTATTGAAAGTAAATTACTATAACGGCGGCTTCTCTCTAAAAAAAAAATAAAAAAATAAAAATAAATAATGTTTTCATCTATAACTCGCATTGGTAATTCTTCCCAATCATCCACAGAAAAATCATTACCATCTCTTCCACCTCCAGTCCCATCTAATCAATCAACAAAACCCTCAGCATGGCAAAAGACTAAAACCGCTTGCGCGCCATGCTGTAACGTTCTTTTAACCCCATATTACAAATGGAGCGAATGGCTAGAAAAAAAACATCCAAAAGTAGCACCATACAAATACGCAATATTAATTTCATTAGGACTATTTCTTATAGCTTTACTAATAATTATAATAATTGCCGCTGTTGGTGGATTTCAAAGCAATGATACTGGAACAACAGGATTAGCTATGAGTGGGAGTGGAGATGGTACTTATTATGGTAAGTTAAACTATCAAAGGGATTACAGTCAACTCCAAGTGCAGCTCTGCTAAAACTTAGGAAAATTTGCCAGTAAAAAATATCCTAAAATAAAATATATAATGCTCTATATTACTTGGAAACGAAGCTTACCTGTATTTTTATTAGACCTGCACTTAGCTGCACTGAGAGCAGACTACATATTTGTAGCATATATATTAATTTAACGCATCTTTTGATAGATCCGGGTGTAGGAATAGGTTCATGTGGATGGCAAAATTATGATAGTGAACTAGTTGCTGCTATGGTAAAAATTTCTAAAAAATATTTTTATGATCATTTCCATCCATTATCTAACTTTTTTTTTTTTTAAATTAAAGAATGCACCACAATACGGTATATATGCCGACCCTGCTGATTCGCCAGTGTGCGGGAAATGCATACAAATCACTGGACCTAAGGGAACCGTTAAAGTAAAAGTTGTGGATAAGGTAAAGCTTTTATTATTATTATAGTAGTGTTATTATTTACTAGCATTCATCGCTAACATTTGAATGCTTTTTTTTAAGTGCCCTGTATGTAAAAGCGGTGACATTGATATGTCATCAACAGCTTTTAAAGTAAGTTCTGGTAAATTCGTTAAATTTTAAATGATATATATATATTTACATTTATTTTTTAATCTATAAAATAGCAAATTGCCAACCTAGATGATGGAAGAGTAAAAATAACTTGGAAAGGATGCTAACATATTTAAAAAAACAATTTAATGACCACCATAGTTAGAATTGGTCTATACTAGGATTCACGTATTTTATTTATAAATTACATAATTACTTTGGTTAGTGTATAGTATTTTTTTAATTTAATATATTTATATCCGTATATTTAAAGAATCACTAGTAGTAGATCATGATTAGCAAAAGTCAGGGTTAGCAATAGGTCGACTGGTAAAATGTAATTATATGTACTATGATCTGAGATATAGCATGTATTTATTTTACTTACCATGTATTTACTTGCAAGCATTTTCTAAATCTCGAACCAAATTGTCAAACTTAGACCTATTTAACAAAAACAATTTCATAGCAGGTGCAATACCAAAATCTGAAAAAGCTCTTTTGGAATCTGAAACTGATGGCTGTTTTGTAAAGTTGAAATTAAATTGGTATTCTGAGTTCTAAAAAAATATATATTTTTTTTTTTATAAATTGAAGATCATTAAAATGTGAGTTGGATAGTTAGAGAATTTAAATTAAAATACCCGTTCAATGACTTCATCTTCGGGATGAAAATAAAATACAGTTGGTTCAGACTAATAATATAAGAAAATGAATTAAATTTTTTATAAATCCACAAATTAAATTGATATATACTAATAGATACCTTTGCTTTTTTCTTTTTTTGTTTTTTGCTTTGACTGCTTTCGTCGTCTAAAGTAGACATGACTTCTTGATATGTTTTAGACAACACAAGGTACCATTCAAAATTGTATGGTTCATTCTAAGTAAAAAAATACGTTAATTTTTAAATAATAATTTGATTTAGACTTTTTTTATGCCTACATCATCAACAGCCCACTGAATTTCTTCTTGCAACATTTTATACATAGGCGGCACAATCTGTACTGGCATGTTAATTAATCTTTCACTTAACATTAATCCAACATGATTTGTGGAGTCTTTTTTTAATAATGTATCAAGTTTTTCATTTAAAGTCTGATCTGGTTTCGTCTTGTCTAATAAATATTTAATCAGATCTTGAATACATTTTTTTTCCTATTCGAAAAACTTATTTATTTTAAATCATAACCAGAAACTTAATTAATCAAAATTTTAAATTTAATTTACCAAATGTTCATTCATATTTAAAACTGTGAGAATTGCATAAGGATCTGAATCAGCTCCATCAACTTTTACAGTGGTACCTAATAATGGTTGATCAATAATCAGTTCGGTAAGTTCACTAATGCTGAATAGTTCGGCGTCCGTAGAAAATAATTGAATCATCAAGTTTTTTATTGAGTGAAAGTCGATTGGTTTTGGATCAAAAAAGTCAAAATCTATATCCACTATTTCCTCCTATAATTAGCAAATGAATATTATTGTTTTAAAATTGATATCGAATAGTAATTTAAAAGTAATTATTAAAATTTATGATAATACATCTAAATGCGAATTTTCTTCTCCGTCAGAAACACCTTCGTCAGAGTCTTCCGTATCTTCTTCGGATACATCCATAGTTGCTGAGTCAATGGGATCTTCATTTTTATTAGCTTTTCGTTTTCCCATGATTAAAAAAAGATTTTTATAACGATAAAAGTTTGGTAAATTGATCAAATTTATACCGATCTTGTGTCACGTTGCCACCTTTTTATATTATTAATTATATAGCAGAATATCGAATATTGATATTTTGTGGCTTTAGTTTGAAAATTTATTATATACGTATACGTATACAAAATCGACATTAATGTTAAACAATAAATATCTAAAAAAAAACTATTACTATTAAACTACGAAATATCTTTAATATATACTATATAATAATGTAATATATTCACATGCTATTTTTTCACTACGATAATGATATCACCATGGCGTATCGGTTATCATTTATATAAATCTGCGAAACATCTTAATAATTTATATAAATCCACAAAAAACATCTTAACGTTAATAATTTATATAAATCTGCAAAAAATCTTAATAAAATATCGTCATTTTCAAAAATGTACACTCGTTCAATTCGATGTGCTCGTGTTTCTCTGTCACAATTTCGTATTTTTTCCGATTTATCAGCTTGCAATTACTCAAGTAACTCACAGGAGCACCAACACAATTATAAGAAGCACTTAACATCATCAGAAGCACGAAAAGATGATAAAAAATCCAATAATACTTATTCAAGAGCAGGTAACCGAGCAGAACAAACTGTTTCTGGAGAGACAAATCATATCGCTCAATCAGAGACTGCATACGATAAAGATGTAGTTTATCCTGACGAAGAAATTAAAAAAATGAAAAAAAAGAATAACCAGGTACTTTATTTCTTAAATCAAATTTTATTGGCATGCTACGTATTTAATTTATAAACTTATATATAGTATATATATAATTTTAATTGACATGCACTAAATTTGGCTTGCGCTACTCTTTTAAAATATTGATTTCTAACGCTAAAATTTGATTTTAATTAGGATTCGTTGGATTATAGTGCAGCTAATCCAGACATGAGTGTTACCACCAAAGATTCTTCAGTACCTGATAGAAAATAAGTAATTTCAGAAATTATAATTATGATTCTCAATAAATAGAGATGTTAAGAAATTCCAAAAGATCCAAATTTCAGTGCAGCTCGGTTAATTATAATTTAGTAATATAATAGCAATTGCTTTGCTATATATTAAGAAAATACTCATCTATCTAGTTTTTCCAAAATATTACTGTCGTCCTCTATATAAAAAAAAAAAAAAAGCCATTGCTCTATTATTATTATCATGGATGTAATTGGCTTGATTGGCTTGGCTCATGAAGTTACAACCAAAGCTTAAGCCATCGTTTTAGCAGCTATAATCTAAGCTATGTCTATTAATATGGCTTAAATTATAGTCAGGGCATAGTTAAGCCAGATAAATTAATCTATAGTTTAGGCCACAGCTTAAGCTAATTAAACCATGGCTTTAGCTAGCTTAAATTATAGCTCAGGTTATATATAATCCAACTTTAATTTTAATTATAATACATTAATTGTATAACTATTAGAGATTAATTGTATAATATAATTTATATAATAATAAATGATAAATTAAAGTCCGAAGTCTTTTTTCCTTGGCAGCACTTATATCTAATAAGTTATTCTTCACATCTTCTCATTGAATAGATTATTTTAGTACATGTGCATATAATTGTTTACTCATATAACAATAACATATAATTATAATATAAGTTATGTATGTACATTATGTTCAAAGCTTTAGCTGTGAAAAATATTTTCGAGCTGTATCTGGAGCCAATAACTTTAGCGTGACTGGAGCTATCCTTATTCTGGTTTAAGCTGTGATTTAAAGCCATAGCTTGGGTTATATAGTTCAGGTTGTTAATTCAGCTTAGCTTTGTTAGACTTGGCTTAAGTCTATGGCTAAAGCTGGCTTTTCATAAAGCCATGGGGCTGTCTGCCCACGCGATCTACAAAATATTATAAATATATACTACAAAATGTACGTATTATTTGTGCATTAATCTGAGTTGCCTGCTAGCCCTGATTTTATTTAATATTTTGGAATCAACTGTCTCCGATGAATTGGGCTCAGTACAACATACCCTCGCTATAGTGAACTCGAAGATAGTTATAGTGAAGAATTTTGAATTGCGGAATTATTAAACTTCAATTCGATATAGTGAAGTACATATAGTATCCTCTCAATATAAGCGAAGATTTTTTTTTTTCTCGGTCTGATGACTTCACTATAACGAGAGTGTGTATTTTAGGGAAATTAACCATCTCAGAAGGATTGGGTATTTTGATAATAGAAGGATTCAGTACATTGGGCTGAATGGATGTTGTATCATTAAGTGTTTATTGAAAATGAATAAATCGAACTTCTTTTCATATGTTAAAAGGGTTTTAATCGGGTTTAACATATGAAAAATAAAATCGATTCCAAACTCCATTTTCAACCCAATTTTTACCTTCGTTTGTCGTTGTTAGAAGCAGACATGAATTGATTAGTTTCATAAAATTTATTTGATAAGTTAATATGTCTGCAGTAGTAGTAGCTAGAGATTGGAACCGGTTTTAAATATTCGAGTTTATCACATTAAATTCGAGTTTATCACACCAATTAATAATAATAATTGATGTGATAAACTCGAATTTTGGTGTGATAAACTCGGATTTTTATGTGATAAACTCGAATATTTAAAACCGGTTCCAACCTCTAGCAGTAGCTATACAAGATAGTCTGAGGAAAGTATCGACCAATCAAATCGCAAAATTTAATCGACCCAATCGAAATAAAAGCGCGTAACAAAAGAAAGAAAAACGCAAGAAATTCAAGAAATTAATGTGTTAAGTCTACTTTAATAAACTAATAATAATGACAATGTTTTACTGTACATATCAATTTTGGTATAATAACCGGTTATTATACAGTATAATAACAGTATTAATTGTCCGGAGCGTAGCGAAGGACTTACGTTCTATGCTTTTTGATCAAAATGTCCGGATGATCCACACGTGATATATTCATTAAATTATGATTGGGTAAAACTCTAATACTAGACTTGCCTTGATCAAAATGTCCGGATGTTCTTCACGTGATATATTCGTTAAACTATGATTGCGTGAAATTTTTAAAAACAATTCTGTATAATTTGCTCCGGACATTAACAGCCTCTGTTAACCTAGTATTAGTATATTATACGTATTAACCAATAATATTAGCGAAGAACCTGATCATTTTAAAACTTCACGATTTATTGGTTGATCGAGCCTATTTATTACTTATCTGACTTTTTCTATTCGTTAATAATCATCATTAATACCGAAGCACCCGAAAGTAAGCACCCCCTACAATTCATATATACTCGAAAATAAGCACCTCTTATATAAGTAACTATATATAAATATCAAATCATACAAATTATTAGTTGAGATCAGTGTTTAAAATTCAGATCGCACAAAATGCAGTTGTGTCATAGGTTTTAATTGCACGAACCAACTACTAGTTGCATACATGTGCATATAAATTTTCTTTGTCTCTCTGAATGATGCCAACATTATAAATTTACTATACCAAATACAGTATATCTTATATTTCCTCGAAATTTAAGCTCGTATTTTATGTTCATTCATTCATTCATTTTCCTTTCGGAATATCTTTATTTTATCCCATATTTTATCAATAAAATTTTATAATTTCTCTTGCACATCATTAGCTCCTCATTCAAATTTAATTGCATGTACATTTAGAACTTCCCTTGTACAAAAAAAAATCTACTTGCCACCTTATGCAAGGTAATTTTAAACACTGGTTGAGATATACCCGAAAATAAGCAACCTTATAGCAAAAAAGGAAACCATTCATTCGAGGAGGGATTCTCCTGACCTCCGGTGGGTCACATTTGCCTTTCTAATCAAATTACATATTTTCGGTTTAATACTTTATACTAACACTAACAGACAAGAAACACATATGAATCAACTTATAAATTAATAAATATACAAAAATTAATTAATTCATATATTTAAAAATAGGTAGGTCTCGTAAAATGGTATTTATTATGAATAAACTCAAACTTATTAATACAATATACAATCTATACTTTTCCACTTTACTGATCGCTTGCTTGGTAAAATGTAATATCATCTTCGTAAAGTTCTCCGTTTTTTAGATTATTATGAAATTTTTTATTTTAAACTGTTTAAAAGGGTAATTGATTTACTTCGGCCAATCATACTAAAGTCCTCCTATGAATTATAATGGTCATACTGTTTTTCTAAGAAACAGTAACTTCGATGCATAACGTCCTTTTGTAGGATACAATTATAAACCTAGTCATGGGATAAATCTATGCGTGGTGACTAGGATTAGTATGCTAATTTTTTTAGCTGAAACCAAGCATCCTGTTATGTTTACAGAAAATAGTAAATTTATTTATAATATTGTCTTATGTATCGTACTAGCATCTAACCCGTCGCGTTGCTCCGGATTCAAATATAAAATATTTAGTTAATTTAAAACAAAAAAATTATTATAAAATATATATAGTAAATACTAATTTTAATGTCTCTGATTAAAACCCTGGTATTATTCTATCCTATTTCTTGAATAAGACCCGTGGTATACCAATATTGATTTACTACTTTTAATATGATATATCCCAAATATGCACCCGGTTCTTCATACAGTAAAGTATCCACGGGTTTTAACATCGATACGTATTATGTTCAAATTTGTGCAACAATAATAAGAAACATGTGTTATAGCAGTAGCCAATCATATTGTATTTTTGTCTCATAATGTTTGTCTCATAGTGTTTGTCTCATAGTGTTTATCTCACAGTGTTTATCGTTATAGTGTTTATCTACACTATTATATATTATATATTGATTATTTTTGAAAAATAAATACTGTAATACTATTAGAAGAGTGTAAAATTGATAATGACATGGTAGAGACCTAATTCCGATAGTAAAATTATTTTCTTCTAAGGGACATAGAACTTCTGATTTTAATATATTATAATAGAAAGATATATTGTATAAATAGACGCGAAATAATGCGTTCATGCGCATTATTTCGAGATGCCAATGTGCGGAATATATAGTAAACCAGTATAGTATAGCCTGTTAGATGAGTATAGTAAACTTCGGTATACCGAAAGTATAACTTCACTTTTGCGACTAAATTATACGATATGTATATTTTTTATAGCATTTATTTACGTAATGTATCGTTTGAATCATGTTTTATATATTATGTTAACTGCTGTATGTTGATTTCGACTCCACCTATTAAGTGGATTTAAATTAAAATTAATCATTATCAATCAACAAAGAAAAAAAAAAAAGATTGAAATTCTTATTCGTCAAACCGCTCTATACTGTAAATTTTTTAAAACGACTGAGCTGCAAGAACATTCATCTTATTTTGCAATGCATTTGAAAGCAAATCTGTCAGTGGACGTCGCAATCCCTTATTATATAAGAATATTATTATTTCCATATTAAAGTTCAAGTTTCATTAAATACAACTATCGAAACCGCTAAAGATCGTTATTGGAACAAAGATATTAATTAAATCTGTAATGCCTCTTGTTTATGGAGAAAGATTAATTCATTTAGGCCATAAAAAATTTCAATTGCTTTGTGTATAATTTTAAGAGCACCCGACTTACTTCCATTCAAAAACAAAAATTATTAATTTAATTGAGTCAATTTTATCAATATAACGGTATACATATACTTATTAAATTGAACTCAATTAACCAATTTAGCAATTTAGAATTCTATTTATGCATAATTGTTTTTTTACTGCGCTTTTTAATTTAGTGTAATCCCCATCCATCGCACATAAATCGACAAAATTCCCATTTTTACAAATTGCAAATTGTCACCAAACATAATATTCAAAGGTTCTCTTTTAAAACTAATTTTCTAGTATAATACCTATTATTATATTAGATCTTTTGTTTTGTTAACCAAACAATAAAAATTTCTATATTTTTTTTTTTTTAACAGTATTCTCAAATTTTGAACGGAGCCACTTTCGAATTCTATAAATCAATATGATTCAAAAACAATCTTAAACATTTAAATTAACCAAGTCGATATTAAGATGTGAACAACAACTATGTGGGAAGCTGAAGAATGTAAAAGCTTGAAAAAAAAAACACAAGCAATGTTATAATAAAAATTAATTATTCCCGATTCCCAGATTTTCCGTGTAATGTGTTAGTAACTCTTATTATAACGTTTTGCAAAAAGGTGTGACCCCATGATTTTTGTGATGATGAACGAGGAAAATTTATTTGAAATTGATGATTCTTAAAATCTACAGAATCTCTGATTTTCACACGACATTGCAATAATCGAAGTTATTCATTACAAGTATAAATTTTTTACTATACATTATACTAAGATGTATAATTTTTTTTTACGTATCAAAATTATACGGAATGTATAATAAATTTTAAAGTTTTAGACTTAATGTATTAAGTATTCAATAAATAATATACATTCCATATAATAAATACTGTATACTATACCCCTTTGACCGACTATACCATACACGTTATCGTAATACCTCTATGTGCGCAATTTTGAAATAAAGAATCCACTAATATAAATATATACGTTATATACGATAAAGTGCACGTTGTTTGAGACACGTATAGATGTTTTTAAAGAATAGAATTTTCAAAGTATCAGACGACACTTTAGTTTATGAACGTATGCACTAAAAAAAAAAGAACAACCAATTTTTTTTGGAGAGCTTAGATAATCCAAAATAACATGTAGAAGCATTATTACATTAATAAATTTTATAGTATCATCGAAAAAAACAACTTTTTATTAAGAAGTTGAGATCAACCTTTTTTAAATAATTAACCTTTTGACAAAATCAAATTTGATATAGGTTCAAGTATTGTACTGTATTATGTTCATATATATATATAATTTATATGTTGTAAGTTGAAACGGAATTTAAATGGATTCTGAATGAAAAATAATGTTGTTTTAGAATCAGCAACCATTTTTCTCAGTCTATCCGATACTATATCACTTTGCATTGTTATACCCAAAGTCACGATTATCAGAACGAGTAAAATATAGAGGCTAAAATAATTGAACCTAAACGGCAAAAAGGAAAACAAGAAAATATGAACACAATAGATGAAAAACCGCATATTCGACCCCGGTGGAAAATTATCTTAAATTAAAACTTTAGCTTTAGCGGTAGTGATTATATATATATAAGTTTTATTTCCCATCAATGGTGGTACCAGAATGAACAAAGGCAATCGAATGAAAGTTTTTAATGAGCCATAATTTGGAAAGCAAACTGGAGACGCAAAACAAACCAAACGTAAGAATGTACCAAAATCCACATGTAGTGGAATCCAAAAAGTAGAAGCTTGAAAAAGCCTTAGTAAAGTTTCGTGACAGTTCTGACGAAAAAAGCGTAAATGATCGAAAAGGCCCTGAATGACCCTTCCTTATATACCGAAGGTGTAAACTAAATTTCACCAAGAATTTATACTAGGTAAATGGAAACCATTCAAAGTCCGAAGGCCAAATATAAATTTTACATTACAGCTGATTTGGGTGATAAATTTGACTATAATAATAAACGTGTCAGTTTGTTTTTTATATTACGCCTGATCTAGCCAATAAACGTTCTTTTACGTTACACCTGATCTAGCCAATCAGGTTTCAGAATTTGTTAACACACAGACATCGGGTGTACTATTGACCTACTCAGTAGTGTCCTTCGGACAATCACTTTCTCTATTAATTTCACTTTCTTGTGGAATCATTATACGTGGCCAAAATTCTTCTTCGTTGTTTACGCTATTGTGAGAAAATGGTGATCTTTTGATCTCATCAAAAATCTTGTCCGTTTGAGAGAATTACTTTCTAAATAATTATATATTAGCTATTTGCATTATTTTGGTATAAAATAAAACTGTACATACTTTGATTTTAAAAAATAAAGTTGTTACATACTTTGATTTTTAAAAATAATTCCTGCCTCATGATTAGATCTAGTTATTGGTATTACAAAACTTGGTTTATTAGGCGGATACGTCCCATACCATTTGAAATAGAGTCAAATAGCAATAGAGTTGCCTTTCCATCTAAAAATAAATAAAAATAAAATAAATGAATAAATAGATAATACACAGTAACTATAAACAAAATAAAATAAAAAATACCATATATATGGAGGCCTAATATTTTTATTTTTTCAAATAATTCTGTTACGCGAGTGTCGATATGGTTTAATTTATTAATATAGTATAACTATACTATTATATGCATCGTTTAGAGACCTCGTAAGCTTATCATAATCGTCTCCATTTATTGGACCAACGGGTCTTTTTGCTTCACATAGAAGCTCCTAAAGCATGATTTTGTATTTTGTTAAACTCCCTTTGTTTATACAAGATTATGGGTGTTCTTAAGCATCCGTAATTTTAGCTATTGCCATAACATTTTGGATAAAAGTCAATAATACGAATGACGGTATTATTGACAATTGCAATGATAGGTCATAAAATAAAGATCTCAATCACAAGTGAAAATCCATAATAAAATATGAATATGATATTTATAAAGTTTTGATAAGTCAGGGGCAAAAAAAAAGGTGGTTAGGGACAAAAAGTTTTTTGACTAAAATGGTAAACTCACCTCATTTTTTACTATTTAAAAATTTTTTTTCATATAATAAAATTTTTTTCATGTAATAAACTATCTTACTCATCTTAATGACAAGCTCGATTGATCGATTAAAATTACTTTCCGTTAATTAAAATTTAATTCCCGATACATTTTTGACATTTAATTGAGGCGCTTGATAACGCCCTTATTTTGAAAAAAAGTTAATTCTGAAACCCCCAATACAACGAGAACCATCTTAGAGTATATATGAATGATGCCAAACAAATCTTGAAATTTTTTTATACTTTCAATAAGTTTTATCTAATTTTGATAACTTTATTTAATATTATCATCATTATTAGAATCCTGTAAGGTTAAAATGATTAAATACATAAGAACTTATTTACGAGTTTTCGTTGGGATCTCTCATAATTTTGGATTTATATTGAATTAGATTTCTTTAGATTTGGTACGTTGCAATTTTGTATATCTACTAAATAATAAAATTTTTCCGTTACCATTTTTTGCAAGGTAATATTTAGATTATTCTTTATAATTATTTACATTTGATCGATAGCATAAAGATTGTTAATCGATGTGTTTAAAGTAAGTTATTTAAAGCAACTTGATAAATTTTATTTATTGCGTAATTCAATTTTTTTATAGTAGAAAAATAATTTAAGTAAGTTTGTCATTTCAATTTACGTACATTTTACAACAATCCATCTTTATTTTATCTATGATTTGGCAAAATTTGCAATTAATAGATTATTCAAAGAGATCGTTCAAATAACTTTATCATTTTCGATACTATTTTACTCCTTATACTACAAGTTTTCATGGAAAATAAAAAATATGAGGAAACTTGAAAAAAATTGCAGAAGCTTACCATCACTTAACCTTTATTCACATGATAATTATTCCATTAATAATTTCTATAATTTCTTCATTTGGTACAACATTCCGTATTTAACTAATTGGGCTGGAGCGGAGGGAAACGGAGTGTAAGTCCTTTCTATGGTCTACTAATTTGGGTCGATGTCCGGCTCCC